TAAAAAGAAGCAATTTTATACTATTTTATTTTGTACTGGTAATGCATTCATGTGACATCAACTCTTAAGTACTAGTGATATAGATAGAAGAAACAGAGAGAAGAAATCTTGCTGTTAACTGATGTTCTTGCTTTGTTACCATTTATTATAAATTATTTCACTGCAATTCCATAGATACATGTAGTATAAAAAAAGAGTTCCTTATAAAACGGAACATATATTTATTACATAAAACTCTCATTTTTAAAGGCATCTATTCCCATTTTTGTTTTTCTGTATAAAAGCAGTCCAACAGTCTGCATATTCCTTTTAAAAATATTATTATGCATGTAGGATGAAATTTCCCTCTGTACAGAGAGCTCTGAAGGCCCATGTTCACTTAAGTCCCATTTAAGCTCTCCTTTGTCACTAGCTGCAATAGCCTTCAAAACTTGAGGATTGAGATTTTTTCTAAGGGGATTTTGATGCATCACTCTCGTTTGGTCATCTATGCAAATCTCAACCCAAAATTATTTTGTGCACTACATAACATTTGACTGTGTTTCATATTGTGTCATCAGTTTTTAAACAGAACTCCCTATTGAGTCCAATCGGGAGTTCTGCTTAAAAACTGATGTTACTGTATGGCCCTGTGAGTGGAGACTTTATGAACCAAGATACAAAAGAGGCAGTCCCTGTTGGAAATCTCCACCTCTCCCCAATACATTTGAGTCCAGAATTCTGCCTGTAGTTAAAATAACTGTCCCTCAATTAATATTTGGGAATGAATAGACAAAATTGAAGTTCTGCTGTTCTGAGCTGATTGTCAACATCACATTCTCAGTCCCCATGTCCCGGAAGTCCATTCCCCTTGACTAGTCCAAATCTCTTAGTTCGGAAAATGGGTGTTTGTCAACATTGATTTGTCTGCTTACACCCACATCAGTAATGAAACATGGTGGTATCGTTGTTTTTAACCTTTCCAAAATCCATAATGTGTCTGAACTGGTGGCTAAGATGTTAGCCCAAGTTCTCATCTTGGACTTGGACTATTGTTACCACTTGATTGGTCTTCCTGCCTCATCTATTACCCATTTGCAATCCCTTTGGAAAGCAGTAGCATTCTTAATTTTTTCATCACCTTGTAGCTCCAGTGTCACACATCTTTATTTAAGGAGACATTCTGGCTTCTGATCATCCTGAAGATAACATTGTCACGGAGTCCCCGGGCAATGCTCTGGAACTGCTCCCTACGAAGCCAGGCAGGACTCTGGGGAAGTCTCCTTTCTGTGAGCAGACTGTCTTCAGGACACACAGCTCACACAACTTCCACCTTCTTGGGTCTGACCTCGGAGCATCCTCTGCCCCTCCGTGTGCTTCCCACAGCGAGTCCACCCAGGTGGGGTCCTGGAGAAGCCAGAGGGTTCTGCACCCCAACTTCGCAGTCAGACGTGACTCTCAGCCAGCCAGTAAAACGGAAGGTTTATTAGACGACAGGAACATGGTCTAAAACAGAGCTTGTAGGTGCAGAGAACAGGACCCCTCAGCTGGGTCCATTTTGGGGGGGCAGTGAGCCAGACAACCACGTCTGCGCTTCACTCCATGTCCCCAGCCAGCCCCAAACTGACTCTCTCCAGTGCCTCTTCCTCTGGGCTTTGTCCCTTTCCCGGGCCAGGAGGTCACCTGTTCTCTTTGTCTTCAACCCTTTAGCTCTCATCTTGCAAGGGGGGAAGGGCCAGGCCATCAGTCGCCAGGAAACAGGGTGTTGGCCATTCTCTGTGTCCAGACCCCTGCACACACCTGTCCTCTAGGGCTCTGCAGTGAAAATACATCCTTATCCCACCACCTAGATACTTAAGAACTGCATAGGGGAAACTGAGGCACCCCCACAATATTCAGAGGAAACATTAAGAACAGTCCCGCTTCGTCACAAACATGTAATCTCTTATTATTTGTAAGCATTTAAAATTTCCATTCCCTAGCTTCTCCATATGTATGCAATTTGGTTTATACTTGCACTCTTGGGTGAGCTTTACTTTCTGGGCTAGAGGAATTACATGTCTTGTCTTTGTACCTGTGCAATTTTTAAGTGTAGGGTTTTCTCTGATGTGGTTCCATGCTGGTGGGATGCTCCTCCATTTGATATCTGTAGGTGTTACTATGTTTATATATTCGTTTTGTACAGTACTCTGTTACTGGGAGAGTGTCTTATAGATCAGTAACAATAATCATTTAACAAAAATTATAATAAATTACAATTTTCTTTGTCATATCAGCATTAATCAGTCAGTCCTTGTAACACTCCTGTAGGTAGATAAGACAGTATTTCCATTTTACTAATAGTAAAACACAGAGAGAGAGAGAGAGTAAATGACTTCTTTAACTGCATACTGAGTCAGGGTAGGAGACTTGAAGAGTTCCTGGTTCCCAGATCCATAGGCAGTCCAATATATGAACCTCCGTCACCGAGAACCTGTCTTCATTGCTGCAGATTTCTCTAATGTGACCGCATCTATATAGTTACACTGGCGAAGACCCATTAGCGAAGAGTTGCTCCACTCCTACATGACTTACTGGTGATTTACTGGGCTAAGTCATGCAGGTGATAAGTCCCTCTTCAGGTTATTGCAGAGTGTCTACTTTATGGGTTTGAATCGGTTGTGTACTATGTATATATTGTTTTTATGTAATATGTATTTACACTCTTAGTTTCTTTCATTCATACTGTAGGTGTTCTTCTAACTAATTGTTGAAACCCAAATGTGCTTAATTTTGAACATATTTTGCTTGCTTGCCTTTAAAAAAAAAAGTTAAGGGTTCTGGGCAATTTATTCTTCTTGATTTGATCTTATTCTGGTAAAGTTTGATCTCTAAATCCATGCTGAGAATGAGGTCCTAAATCAGTTCTTTATTAACTTTGTACCAGTCATACACTTTGCTTTTCTATTCCAACTGAAATATCAGCACTAGATGTGCCAAGGAGTGAGAGAGCCAAAGTTTCCATAGCTCTTTCTGTCCCACTAACTCATTGTAGGGATTTGTGTTGGTGATTATCTCTCTTCTAGTTCTGAATGACTGGAGTTGTTGCTATGATCCTCTTGCTTGATCTGTATTGTTGCAGTGGGACTAAGGTTGAAATCTGCTTCTTTGCAGATGGTCAGCACAAGGCCCCCTCAATTTTAGATTAAACCTTCAAATTAGGATTGCCTCGCCCTCCGCACAGGGGTGGATTTTGCAGTGTACAGAAATGCATGATTCCAGACTGCTGAGATGTTTGTGAATTATCACTGGGCTTCAGATTCTTAAACCTTGGGTCAAGTGCTGTAGCTATCTTTAGAAATCTGACATTGGTACCGTCTTTGCGTTTTGTCAAATCTGCAGTGAAAGTGTTCTTAAAATGAACACGTGCTGAATCATCATCCGAGACTGCTATAACATGAAATATATGGCAGAATGTGGGTAAAATAGAGCTGGAGACATACAATTCTCCCCCAAGGAGTTCAGTCACAAATTTAATTAATGCATTATTTTTTTAACAAGCATCATCAGCATGAAAGCATGTCTCCTGGAATGGTGTCCGAAGCATGAAGGGGCATACGAATGTTTAGCATATCTGGCACATAGAATCATAGAATCATAGAATATCAGGGTTGGAAGGGACCCCAGAAGGTCATCTAGTCCAACCCCCTGCTCGAAGCAGGACCAATTCCCAGTTAAATCATCCCAGCCAGGGCTTTGTCAAGCCTGACCTTAAAAACCTGTAAGGAAGGAGATTCTACCACCTCCCTAGGTAACGCATTCCAGTGTTTCACCACCCTCTTAGTGAAAAAGTTTTTCCTAATATCCAATCTAAACCTCCCCCACTGCAACTTGAGACCATTACTCCTCGTTCTGTCATCTGCTACCATTGAGAACAGTCTAGAGCCATCCTCTTTGGAACCCCCTTTCAGGTAGTTGAAAGCAGCTATCAAATCCCCCCTCATTCTTCTCTTCTGCAGGCTAAACAATCCCAGGTCCCTCAGCCTCTCCTCATAAGTCATGTGTTCCAGACCCCTAATCATTTTTGTTGCCCTTCGCTGGACTCTCTCCAATTTATCCACATAAATACCTTGCAATGACAGCTACAAAAGTGTCATGCGAATGCCTGTTCTTAGTTTCTGGTGACATCGTAAATAAGAAGTGGGCAGCATTATCTCCCGTAAATATAAAGAAACTTCTTTTTCTTAGCGATTGGCTGAACGAGAAGTAGGACTGAGTGGTCTTGTAGGCTCTAAAGTTTTGCATTGTTTTGTTTTTGAGTGCATTTATGTAACAAAAAAAATCTACATTTGTAAGTTGCACTTTCACGATAAAGAGATTGCACTAGAGTACTTGTATGAGGTGAATTGAAAAATATTGTGTCTTTTATCATCTTTACAGTGCCAATATTTGTAATAAATATAATATAAAATGAGCACTGTACACTTTGTATTCTGTGTTGTAATTGAAATCAATATATTTGAAAATGTAGAAAAACATCAAAATTAATAAATTTCAATTGGTATTCTGTTGTTTAACAATGTGATTAAAACTGCGATTAATTATGATTATTTTTTTAATTGTGATTTTGTTTTAGTTAATCGCATTAATTGACAACCTTCATATTAATCTTTATTCTACATTAGGGGAAAGCTGTGATTTAGATTGGACTAAGCTAACACATGTTAACTAATCCTGACCTAACCTTGTCCTTTCTCCCTAAACTGGAGAAAGCCAAAGACTCAACTCCAGCAGTTGTTACTCAGGCAAAACCCCCAGTTGAATCTTGAGAAAGGATTGCAGGATTTGCCTTTTAACTTGCATCTATCATATGAAGCATTTAAAAACTCCTGAAGGATTTGTACTCATTTAAAAAAAAAATGGTTGTGAGTTTCCTCAGGTCCTGATATGTTCTGTACCTGTCCTTTATAGTTCTCCTTTTCCTCTGTAGGGCAAGTGTTTGTTGTTTTGCTGCAATTGTTTTTATTTCTTTCTCTTTCTAGACTGGCAGATAGCGACTCTCGCTTTGCTTTTGGGCGGTGCTACCATCATTCTCATAGCTTTCCTGATTGGTTTGATCTCTATCTGTGTGGGGTCTCGGAGGCGGTTCTACAGACCACTAGCGGTCATGCTCTTTGCAGCAGGTAAATAAATTAATCACTTCCAGAACTGTGTTTAAAATTTTATTCGTACAGCTTTACTTTCATGCAGTAGATGTCCACTGTAGTCATACAGAGACATTTAGTTTGTCTTATCCCAAAAATACCTAATACTATTTAGCATACCAATTTTGTAATATGTTAATAATTTTTACATTTACATTCTTGCAGCTTCGAAATCTAATGCAAATAAATATTGTCTGAAGTACCTGCTGCATGAGGGACTGCAGGGGATAACTCAAAAGTATCAGCTTTTTGAGGAGGTTATTTTGTGTTGCTTCATGTCCCCCTTTATTCTTCTTGAAGCCCATTCTGATAAATTTTAATGTTCTTTTTTAAAATTTGAGATTGAAAAATCAATTCATAAGGGTGAATGAACCCTTGAAGCCATAAGGATGAAAATAAATAGGATTAAATTTTAAAGGTGTTTGTTTCTGCTCCTGCACCACGAGAGGAATTAATTTCATTGTTTAACTCTTAATTATTAATTTTAACAGTTGTCATATACTTTAAAGCTCTTATTTGATTTTCAAAGCACCAAAGTGGAACAGTTTATGCAAAGATACACGGAGACCTTAAGAAAGACCTTTGAAAAAAAAATAGGCCCCAAGAATTCTGTAATAACTGCCATACCAAATCCTATCCTATTATGCATTCTGGTGTTTTTCGGCTTGGCCAGTAAACGATATATTTCCCTCCGCCTGAGATCCACCAAGCATGACTTCCCTTCATCCTGTCAATCATATCTGTGCTGGAGCCAACAGATTAAGCCTCTCTGATAGCCCATAATGAAGAGACTGACAGATACATCTAGTCTGCTAGATGGATTTAAAAAAAGCCATTTTCAAGGATATGAAAAGATAGGCCCTCAGAATGTGGAGGGTATTTAGAGCTGAAACAAAGCTCTGGGGAAGGATCTTGCTGCCCCCTGCTGTATGTATTAATACAGTTGGCCTGCTACAATTTAGCAGGAATAGGGACACGCTTTTATGCATGCATGTAATATAACTGTTTTCTTTCTCATTTGCTTTTACTGAGAAAATGCAAAATAGGTTCAGAAATCTTGAGTAGAAATGGATCTTTTGATCTGTGTGTGAATAAACTGACACATGCCCACTAAATGAATGCACTAGTCTTTTATTTTTTTTTTAAACTCACCTTCAACCATAACATTATAAAACACTCCAGGCAGTTAATTTCTAGGGAAATGGGATTATTGTACTTCTCTGGTGGTTTCTCATTTGGCCTTTGACTCCAAGTCTCATAATACTGTGCAGTAATTGCCCAGAAATATACTGCCTATCATGACTTATTGCTTAATTAATATGTTATTAAATTTGTAGCTTTTTCTTTTTTTATAAAAGCCTTGCTTTCTCTTTTCAGAGAGACAGGGGGAGAAAGAATCCCAATGTGTACCACTGGGATTAAAGTAAATTTGCTTGTTTATTACAACAATTCTGCTCTTAACACTTACCTACATCAGTATGACTATATTAAAGCTCTACCTTGTGGAAGATAATTTACCTGTTTCCTTTACCCTAGGTTATTAGTATTTAAGAGCCATGGCCCAAAATGTGTTGGAGGGAGGGATATAGTGAGGCTGAGAAGAGCTGCCCTGTGTAACCATGTTGCCTGGCAAATCGGTGGGAAATAGTTTTGGGATTTAATGTTGACGTTGTCATTTGTTCCGAAGGGTCACAGCTCTTCTTTCAACTATCTTTGGAGTTGGACAGGGGCCAGGGAGCACCTGCGAGACCTGTGATGCTATTGAGGACATCTAGGCTGGAGCACAGAGGTGTTTTCCCTCCATGCACATGTCTCTAGATTCAGATTGTCTTTGTGGATTTCAGAATATTTTAGAGGTTGGAGGGTCCCAGCTCCAGGAACCTGCATGATTATGGTTAAGAATTTATTCCTTCTCCCTTCAGATGGAGATATCTACTCCAGGCAGAACAAAAGAAGTGCCTAGAGCCACAGACTGTGTGTGCTGGGGGCAGATGAGAATGTGTAAAGATGGGAATCAGCCCACCCCATGTCACATGGTGGCCTCCAGAGACTTTAGATTCTGGACAATTGTTGAGGGCTTTTGTGATTGACTACCACTTTGGTTTATTTTTTTTCTCCCAGCAAAAGGCCTTAGCTAGTAAGTATGTGTGTGTAGTAGGATACTTGGGGAGTAGGAAGGCAGAAGCACAACAGGTAGTGAAGCAACCCTGGCTAATTATTGAGAATGGGCCAACACAGGGCAGAAGGTAAGCTAGAACAGCAGATCGGGATAGCTTACATGTTAATACACATCTGAAATTAACAATGGGTAAGTAGAGGAGCCACTGAGGACAAGGTATATTTAAAAAAAATAAGAACAAAAACAAGCCCCTCTTCTGCAAAACACTGTGAAGCAAACAGGATGCTAGTCAATCATTCCCTGATCACTTTGCTTGTTTGTATATCCCGCTACCCTTGGTATGTCTTGGCCTTTTAGTTTGTATACTCTCGAAGGCAGAGGCTGTCTCTTCCTGTGTGCCACACCTGTAAGAATGGAGCTCTCATCCAGATAGTGGCTTTTGAGCACTGGGCAATATAAGAAACGATTAATAAAGTGAGCAGGCAAATGCTGCCCCCTGTTTTCAGGATGTGTCAGAAGCGCTACAAACTGAAACTTGAAGCGTGTCCTCAAAGGGATTTCCATAGTAGGGCATGAGTTCGTTGTGAGTATGTAAGCACAATCTAGTTTTAGAATAATGTATATTTCATTTGTATTTTGAGTTACACTCTCTGGTAGGAGCTCCCCTCTCGGGTAACTACTTGTCATAGAATCATAGAATCTCAGGGTTGGAAGGGACCTCAGGAGGTCATCTAGTCCAAGCCCCTGCTCAAAGCAGGACCAATCCCCAACTAAATCACATTTGTTCCAAACTCTTACCACCCAGGACTGATTGAAGTACCGTGCAGTTGATTAGCAGAGCCGCTTGCATCCAGCTGGCAGCATGTATTCAGGTGCCCCTCCTCCCGCTGCTTCATGTTGCTCCTGCCCTCGGCCTTGGAGCCCCGGCTGCTCCTGAGACGCTCCTGCTGGCTGTGCAGAGCGGGTGGGGAGGGGAAGGGGGAAAGGCATACTGATGTCAGGGTGTCCCCCTGCCCCTGTACTCCAGCAGGGGAGAGGGGACAGCCTGGAGGGTCTGAGGTCTGAATGCTGTTTCAGGTGGTGAGTGAGTGCCTTTACCTTAAAGAGAGAGCGCACGGTCTCTCAGAGACTTCCCCAGCACATACAATCTCTGTCTGTCTCTGTCTCTCTCTCTCTCTCCTTTCTCATTCACACTCATGCACGCATGCAGTTTGTGTGTCTCTACACACACCCCTCCCAACACATACTTGTGTTATTGTAGTTTACTTCTTGGTACTTCCTGCAATGCACATATATTCTCTGTAATTTTAGTCTTTCAAAGTGTGTTATTTTAGTTTTTTGACTGGTCTATGCATTTCATAATTTTTATTTCTCTTACACATAAATTGAATTATTTGAATAGTGACTTCTAAAATGCCTAACCTTTCCTGGCTGGAGTGATTATCTCTATGGTAACTTTTAAAATATATATATTATATCTAGGTTTTTTTGTTTCTAGTGGTGGCGTACAGTACCTCGGTGCACATAATAAAATTTATTCGACACATGGATGGAAAAAATTAGAGGTAACATTGGTCAGGGCTCCTACTTATCTTTGTGTTCTGACCAATTCTTGTATACAGTTTCTGTGACATTACGGAGGATACAATCTGGACCATTGGACAGCTGTGTCCCCTCAATTCTCCAATCTGGGGTACCTTTTCCATTGCTTTGCCAGGAGAGTAACCACTGCTGGTCTGCTCACACACAGCTCTAGCATGTAAATTACTCCAAGTTATACTGTATGAGTGCTATAGCCAGCCACTCATCAATCACTTCTCATCACTGCAGGGAAACACCAGAAAACTCGTAGTCCAGACTTTCCCCCAGAAATGTGCATCTTGGACAATACAAGCTCATATAAAGTCAGTAATTTCATGAAAAGAAAATGATATGCATGAATCCTGTTATCCCAAATGAAGTTTCCCAAACACTTCAGTCCAACCACACTGGTTTAGATAAAACAGATTTATTAACTGTTTTACAGAAAGATAGATTTACAGAAAGATAGATTTTAAGTGATTACAGGTAATGAGGCATAAAAGTTAGAATTGGTTACAAAGAAATAAAAAGTAAAACACAACTAATACCTAACTTAAGAAGCTAAATGACTTCAAAGCCAAGGTCTCTCTCATCACAAGTTCCTCCTGTCTTAGTGGCTGAATCTTTCAGTCAGGATCCCTCCCCAGTCCAATGCTGCTCCTTTGTTCTTCAGGTGTTGGGGATGCCATTGGTAGAGAGAAAGGAAGAGATGATTTGGGGCATTTGCTCTCTCATCTTGTAGTTATTTCTCTTGTGCAAGAATCCTCTCCAGCTGAGGTTCAGGAGACAGAAACTCTGTGTGGACAGGAACCTCAAGTTGCTTCTTTGTCAAAATGCAGATTCTTTGCCCACAGCTTCTCTCATGCTAAAGAGTGGCCACTTAATCAGGTGATGGTCCATTTGATCTCGTTGACGCCTGGCTAGCCTTTTGTTTCTGGGGAAGTGGTTTGTGACTGCCCTTCAGAACATGCTGGAACATGTAATATCTCACAGTGGAATCTTATAACTTTACATACTATGTGGCCACACATATTTTACCAAGACAATAATGATCAGCAAGTCATGAGTTTTCAAATGATCCCTCACAATTCATACTTTGTACAAGTTTTATCATGATCCTCTAAAAGGCATGGACGTAGGGGTACGCACTGTCACAGTTTCATACCTAGAGACTGCCTCCCAGCCCAAAAATCAGATTCTTCTCCTGCACCCAGCATAATCTCTTCTTCCAGTTGGAGGAGATTGGGCAGCAAGAAGTAGGGTAAGCCTTCTGCTTCCA